AGATCAAAAATTCGATTTTTAATTTTTTTTTCCCAAGTTCGTATCCCGATGCACACTCGGAAAGTGAAGAGTGACGTTCGAGGAAGACAAAAACGCACACGAAACAGAGGCGGGAAAAGATAGAAGGGAAAAAAAAAAAAAAAAGAAAGCGCAACGAGATCGCGACAGCATGTGCATACCTCTGCCAGAGGCCGCTGATGCCGCCACGTGTCTTCCCTTCAGAGAACCCATCCTGTGCATCATCTCGAGATCCTCCATGCCCTCCTCCTCCTCCTCCCCCACCTTTTCTCCCTCCTCCACCTCCCCCTCCTCCTCCTCCTCCTACTCCACCTCCTTCTCCTCCTACTCCTCCTCCGCTCTCGGTTCTAATTTCCCCTTTGCTATCGGCGCTGCGCGCCACTGTCACCTTCCTCCTGCTGTCTCCAAATCCATCCTTCATCTTCCTGCTGCTTCCGCCATAACCACCACCCTCCTCTCCCAACTTTCCCATCATCGATCGCGCACAAGGGGAAGGAGGAGAATTTTCAGAAGCGACCAACAAATCCCCCAACGGTTGAGTTCCTGTCATCGACAGCGTCGGGCCAGTTGCGCGCGGCGCCGGAAGCGGAAGCGGAAGCGGGCGCAGCGGCGGACGGGCAAACGAACGTGCGGAGACGGACATCGCTGCCATCGCCCCCGTTCTCGACCCTCCCGCCCCATTCCTAAAACTACCCCCTTCAGCATTCCCTTCTAGGAAATAATAATAACAGGTTACTGAGCGGAGCGGTCGTAGACGAAGCTTCCATGCCCAAACTCCGAGCAGATTGCCACGTGGCAGCCACGACGATCCTGCTGCGGGAACGACTGCCACGTCACTCGATGAACTCCTCGCAGCGCTGTGACGAAGCCTACCCGAACTACATCGAATGCCACTCCCGCAGGCCGCTAGCATTGTGCCGGCAACGCGTGTTATCGACGTAGACATGATCAATCAATCAATCAATCAATCAATCAATTCAATCAATCAATTCAATCAATCAAGAAAGCAATCAAGCATTTAATCACTCAATCAATCAATCACAATGGAATTAACCAACCAATCAAGCAAGCGAGGAAGAAATCAATCGATCGACCGATCAATCAATCAATGACGCAATCAACAAGCAATCAATCGATCAATCAAATGATTAAGCAAACAAGAAAGAAAGCAATCAATCAATCAAATGATTAAGCAATCAAGCAATCAAGCAAGAAAGCAATAATCATTCGATTTGGTTGATCGATCAATCACGGAATGATTGGCTAATCACGGATGCTGATCCGAAGTTCCACGTGGTATTTTTGTGCGGGACAACGGATGCTGATGCAGAGCTGTACGTGGCACTCATGCACGACGGATCGAAAGATAAACAGTTGCTGTTCAATAGTGATTGGTAGCAATTACTAATTAGATGTCATTATGATTGCTTGGCTAATAAGTTGTAGCAACAAGATCAATTACTGTAGGGGGGTTGGTTAAACAGAGATCGCGCATCGGACTGAACCCCCCGAGCACCCTCCCACACCCCCCCACATCTATCCTATCCTACTCTCACCGATAATCCGTTTCTGATGACTAATTAGATCACGCAATGACCTCTCCACAGTTGAAGAGGTTTGGTCAATATACCGTCTTCCCCCGAACATAATGCACGCATATCAGGACTCGGGCCAGAAAGATCACTTCTATGCATTCATAATCAGGGTGCGTTGTGTTCGGAGAAAGACGGTAGTCATCAATCTAAGTTGTGCGCACTCTCTCAAGCGCGAAAGAGAGAGAGAGAGAGAGAGAGAGAGAGAGAGAGAGAGAGAATGTTGATTGACACCTGTGTGAATGCGCAGGATGGGCGCATGACACGTACTCAAGCGTAATTACAGTCACATGCATTCACGGCGATCCCGCTCGTGTCGCTTGGCCATCAACCAACCAATCAATCAATCAATCAATCAGTTGGAAGGATCGTGCCTGCTGCCGTGGTGGCGGCGCAGTGAGCTTCGAGCTCACCCTGGCGTTGTGTGTTTCGGCATTGCCCTGTCCGCCCAGCTCGAGATCCGGATGCTGGCTCGGGAGCGGGACGGACCTGGCGGCGTGCATCCCCAGGGCTGCTACCGTCAAAACTGGGGAAGCTACTGTTCAGTTTATTTGGGCCCTTGGGCCATTTATCCCTTTTCGCTGGACTGGGCATTCTCCCCGGGCGAGGTGTGGGGCGAGGCTTTTGTTGCCCGGGCGAGTTTTTTTTTTTTT